AAGCGCTCAAAGACGTCTGTCTCACTTCTCGTTGCTGCCGAGGTCCCAGCTTTGCCTTCGAAGGCGTAGAACCTCCAGGCTCGTTACAGGCAGTTCTCCAGGTGACTTCGTTGCTCCCATCTAGGACCCAAATGGACAGCTGTGCTTTGCTTTTGAGAAAAGATAGATATCTAAGTATAAGACTTAGATGCAGAAAGCAGGGGTGGATTACAGTGGATAATTGGGTCCCCTTTCTGAGAATGGAGTTCGTTGTCGGGCCTCACACTGAGGGCAGGGCCGTGTGGCCGTGCTAGCCTCTGAGGCGGGTGTGTCTCCAGTACAGGACGGGAAGGTCTGTTCTGGAACTTGTTTGTGCAGAGATCTCTGCTGGCGTGGCTGTGGTCTTTTTGTTGGCCCTTGTCTGTAGGAACAGAGGAAGAGCCGTGGGGTTCTCTGGGGATGGCTGCGAGGACAGTAGATAGGAGACAGGAATAGACCAGGCCAGCAGAGGGGGGCTCACTGGACCATGTTGGCAGACACTGCCGCTGCCCCAGCCGGTTGGATGTACTGAGCACTTACAACGTGATGGCCCTGGTCTAAGTGTTTGGTGTGTATATAGGCTTAGGTAATCCTCTTAACAGCCGCAGGCACTAGGTATTAGGTATTATTTTTAACCCCCATTTTGCCAGTGAGGAAATAAAGGCACAGAGAGGTTACAGGGGTAATTAGTGCAGTGCTGGTATGCAAAACGAGGCAGGGTGACTCACCAGAGGATGCTCCTGAGTACCTGCTGTATCTTTAATTCCAACTCTGGGACAGAAGCATCACCCAGTGTCTCAAAATTGGAGGGTGTTACATGGGACTTTAACTGTAATCGACCAGTTATTGTGCAGAACACAACGCATTTACATATTTAACATGTAACGTATATGGAATGTATATTTATGTATTTATTTTTGACTTTAAAAAGCGCTTTGGATGCAGGCAGGCAGAAGGTACTAGGCTGTTTTGCTGTCCAGTAGAGAAAGGTTAAAAGAAATGTAACATTTCCCCTAAAGCAACTCCCACCTGGCAGGCCCTCAAGCTGTCCCTCAGAGCTGTGTCTCCCATTGTGCAGCCCCGACTGCTCACTTCAGCAGGGGGAACGGCTGGATTGGGACTGCGGCCTGAGGGGAACATGTTGGTTTCCGTTCCTTCTTCTCTGACTGAGGCTCAGTGTTCTCCGACCCATTATTGTGGTGGATGTGTTCTATTTAAAAGAGGACGCTTTCTAGCTGTGTGACTGATGGTCCAGGAGAGGCTATGAAAAAAATACTTTCTAGGGCACAATATGTGCAGCCAAAGACCAGTGGTTTTCAGAATGGTAACCATTTGAAAGAAAACCCACCTCTTCCCCCAGTCCCAACTGTATGGTGCCAGCAGTGCAGTCTGTCTAGAGCTTTTGATTTTGCTACCCTTGGCTCTTTCGCTAGTTTTTGTTTTTGTTGACAAATTTATAAGCAGAAAGTTTAGGGTGGGAAGAGCAGACACTGGAAGATTTTCTGTGATTTTCCTTAACCATACTCTGTGTCCCCCTCATGATCAGGAATGACAAAGATTTGTTTTATAAAGGGATAGGGTGCCTGTGCCATTTGCAAGTAGAAGTTTAGGAGTTTTTCTTAGAATCAAACATTAAGCAAGAAACACAAATCTAACATAAAACGCCAAAGCTGGGAAAAAAAATCCAGCAGAAAACGTCTTTCTGTTCCAACTATGGCCTGTAGGAAACATTTCAAAAATATTCCTTCAAAGGGCCAAGCAGCAGGCTTCCCATTTAAGCTTTGCAACTGTTACAGGATGTAACACATACTGCTCTGAAATTTTACCCGTCTCATCCCGAATGATCAAATGCCTTCCCCCGCCTTTCCTCGCCCTGCGGTTCCCGAGCAGAGCCGCCACTGCCCTCCAGCAGGGTGCAGCTTCAGTGCCACGCCATTTTGGAAAAGCATCAGTGCAAACCAGCATTGTTCTCGGATATGCCTTTCTTGTTCTTTTTTGCTGAGCCTAAAGAGATAATATTCAGAAAGGCAGTTGGGTCTTCTAGGTTAGGACAGATTGTGGACGCTTCCCAGGGGTGTTTGGCAGTGAAGGGATTGCTCTGTTCCGTTCCCCGCAGCCCCTGGGTGGGGAGTTCTATGGACACGGACGGGTGAGTGGATGGTTTTCCAGATGGCTTATGCTACGATGCACTCAGAAGAACCCCCTCCCACTCCACGTTGTTTCCAAAGTCAATTTATTGAATATTAAGTCACGAAGCCAGTGATATAATTTCAATTAAAAATACCCTGTTATCACTCAAGACTTAAAAGAACAAGAATACCCCTTAGAAACAGTGCTTTGGAAAATAATCACACTAACATTACACACAACAGAGTCCTTTCTTAAGCTTTATTTAAGAAATCGAGTACTATATAGTTCAATATATATAAGACACATCCAGTATTGTGTTCCTGATAGCAAGTGCATAGATTTTGTTAAGATATCATTTTCACTCGATATAAACGTTTCATGGTCACACGAAGATAATATTCCCAGTGAGTTTGTCCAAGCATGAGAGGAGAAAACAGAACACGGCAAAAATAGTGAACTACAACAGATGAAAAACGAAAACAGCGAATTAGCAGAACAGTCGATTCCTGATAAGTGAATAAGCTGATTGTTTGGTCACAATGTTTTATTCACTTATCAGGAACGATTCACAGTACGTTTGTGTTCACTGTGTGTCCTAGCCTGCCAGCTAAGAGTCCCGACCACGGTAGCTCGTGACTGCTGTGGGCGGGGCAGACGTGGGCAGTTCTGAAATTTCCCCAAGGTGGTCCATGCATGGCAGACAGATACGCCTCGCGGACACTGCAGCAGTACTTTACAGAATCACAATGGTGAGTGTGCATGAAAGCAGGGATCAGCTGTACACTCATGAGTGCTTCAGGTAACTAGCATTTCTGTCCCCTTCTTTGGAGAATCATTGTTTTTGTTGTTTTTCCAGAACAACAACAACAACAACAAAACTGGCTTCGTCTTTCCCTTCTTTTACTTAGCACGAGCATTTTGCCTCGTGCCAAATGGTGGAGATATCTATGTCTTACATATTTTTAAAATGAACACTTGCTCACCCTCTTTACCTACTACCTTCTTTCCCTCCCTCACATCCCCCACCAAAAAAAAAAAAAAGAGAGAGAAAAAAGAAAAATCACACCCTGGGCCGTCTTTTCCCACCAGTGTAAGCTGTGGGTTCTCAGAGGCAAACTGACGAAGGCTACAAGATTGACAATAGAAGTAGCGGCAGCGAGTCAGCTCCCATCCGTGCAGGTTGGAGCTGCTGTAAGTCACTTCGCTGAGGTGTTTGGCCTGTGGAGGAAAGAGCCTCCTTCTCCCACCTCACCAGGCCCCTCGGTTGTGGAGCCCACTAGAGAGGAGAAGACAATCTAGGGGTCAGTGGGGGCTGCCGAAACCAGAGGTGGCGGGCCTGAGCACCTGTCAGGAAAATCTTATTGGCAGCCAGAGGAAGGCTGCCCGGTGCTGGGTGACCTGAGTCAGAGCTTGTGCGTCTGAAAAGTTGGAAGGAGAGCTAAGACATGGGGAGCAAACATCAGAGGAATCTTTTAAGAGCACTTGGAGAGCAGTCAGATTCCTGAGCGTGAGAGGTGGGCAGAAAGGGAGGAGGGCCTGTGGCTTGGGTTTTGGAGGGCATATAAGGAACAGTTTTTTCTTTCCTTCTCTCTTTTGATAACTGGGGTTGGGGTGGTAGTGGGGGGCGGTCAAGGCTTTTTAAAAAATACACGTTGATTCAGGAGGGAGTGTGTGGATCCCATAGGGCATTCTTGCCTTTCATTTGGAAATGGAGCATAGATTATGAAGACTAAGTTAAAGTGTGAGAAACTTTACCTCCTCCCCCTTCTACCCCACTTGACTGAGTTGAGCTTCCACTTGAACACTTGGATATATTTTTTCTCTTTCATTAATTTTAATAATTAAAGTTGCTCCTGGATTCATTTAGCTCTTAAAATACATAAAATTTAAGTGACTTTTCTATGTATCTCTCTTGGTTGATGGGAACACATAGACTTAACCTTTTTCACATCTTCTATTCCCCAGGTAAGTAAGTTTATTTCTTCTGCCCTGGAGAATTCACCTTTTTAATATGTGATGATTGATTAGTTTCTAAGAAGAGTGTGACTATAGCGTTATGCCTTTCGACTTGTGGGTGTAGACAGAAGTTCTGCTGCTTCTCTTCCTAAGTTTCTTAAGGTTATTCAGCAAAGCAGCAGCACTTTCAAATGAATGTTAAGAACTGCACACACACACCCATGACACAGGAGAGTGGGGTGAGGTCAGACGAGGACGGAAGAGAAGGTGAACTCTCCCAGTGTGGCCCGAAGACCAGAAGAGGTCTTGGCAAATCCAGCTCTGTAGGCAGGTATTTAGGTGAATAGCAGAAATGGAAGCAGTGGTTAAAATGGGCTGTTGTACATAAATCAGAGGTGGCTGGTGTGCAGTTTCCCCTTCCTCCAAATCAGATATTCACTTAGGTGGAATCGACTGTATCTTTTTACACAACATATAGAAAAAAACAGATACGTGAAACAGTGAGGTGTGTAGATGTATCACCAACACATAATGACCACCAACAATACAACACGCAGAGAGAGAAACAAGTATTAGGAAAATGGTTTAATATTGGAGACAGAAGCAAAAAACTGCATCACACAATAACATACGTTACAAAAATAAGTTTGACTGTTTCAACTACACAGTTATGTTCACAATGAGGACGGAAGAATCAGAAAAAACTTTGATCTAAACAGCAAAAAAGCAAACCCCTAAAGTTTTAACTAATACATTTATCCACTTAAAGTGACTGAGTACTTCTAAATCTAATTACCTTATTGTGTAACTGCACAATACAGAATAAAAAGTGAAACTTACCGCTGTATTTTAAGACAAAATTCTAATGCTAGATATAAGCAAAGGGAAAAAAGAAATCAAGCCAAAGTTTTTAATTCTCAAAAGAAAAGCAACTCTCTTTCTATCAACCAGAAATCAAACTTGAAATCAGTCATTGTCAGGGGGCCCACTAGAGTAAGCCACAAAAATTTCCATTTTTTTAATCTCCAGTATAAAAAGTTCCACTGGTACAAAATGCATAATAAGTACAATCAGTTGTAGAAATAGGAAAGCCTGCATTATTATTATTATTTTTTTGGCTCAAATTCCATCAAACAACAAAATCCAAATGCATCAATAACACAAACAATACTCCGTGGTCTTACAGTTTCCACTAGGTTGCAGGAACTTTGGCTTTTCTCAGACAATATTTAAAAACTATTTTATAATTCTAAACAAAATGGTATTATTAATCTACAACAACAATTCTCACAGCACAGAAAAACACAAATACATTTTTTGTATGACATTATTCAAAAAGGTAATGAAACTACAGGTTTTTTTTTAGATTTTATTTCTTCATGTTAATTAGCACTTAAGATAATAATAAAAACAAACAGTAAAATGAGTCCAGAGTAGCACAAGCCAAAGAACTAGAACCCCTATGGTGAAAGAAAGATGAACTTGTTTCGCCTTGAGGACTGTCATTTTATCGCAGTTCTCTAATTTAGTTTAAAAATGACTATTCTCTACACTTGATTTTTAAAAAAGCAGTTTCCCTGTGTTTTCTCTTCCCGCACAGGCCCTCACACCCTTGCAGCTTTTTCCTTTTGACATTAAAAGAGAAAGTGACTAAAAGGACAAATCGTCTCTGAGGAGGGTCATCTTCTTAACAATGAAACATGCCAAAAAACCCCAAACCAACCAACCCCAGAAAGCATGGACTTACCCCCTAAATGTGTCTTGGTTGCCTGCAAAATAAGAAACACTCAAATTAAAGTGTTCACCCCGAGCCCCCTGTTAACTGCACTCAGTCCCTCTGGGGGAGATGCAGTGGTTGAAAGGAAAAGAGGGCAGGAGGAGGGCAGCTCGCTTCAGTGAGGAAATCAGAAAAAATTGTTTTCCAAGATCTCTGTAGAGATAGGTAAATGAAGAGATTCAGAACGAAACAGTCTGAATAACTCAAATGGTGTTCCTGTTCGTGTATCTACACACCACCACATACTGCATATGAGACACGTGTGTGGTAACTTTTGTTTCAGCTGATTGCTGCAGGAAGTACAAAATAGCCCTCAAAGGATGAAGGAAGGCCCCAGCAGTAGTAAACACGTGTGAGGATAATACAAATCACTTCGTTATAAGTGCATGTGCCATAAGAAGGGAATTTTTTTTTTTTGCATTATTAGAGGCTAGTCCTTTCCATCCCAGGGCTATCACATCCACACACACATTAGACCGAGTGGGGTGGTAAGTGGGACGAGGAGGAAGGGAAGGGAGCCAGCAGTTTGTGGGGGCTGCAGTGGTGACGTGGGGACTTGTCAAGACAGCAAGAGATCTGTTCACATGAAGTCAAAGTAATATGGCACTTCAAAAAGTGGCAGCAGGAACTGGTACGAATTATTTGGTCAGAGAGTTTGATAAAGAACTGAGTTTTCCTTATATGGTCAGTACGTGCATTGAATTAAAAAAAAAAAAAGCTAGGGAAAAGACTACCAGCTACCACCAGACACCTTGGTATTAAGAGGTATCCACCGGGGTCAGAGAGATCCCCAGCACAATGGCTGATTAGAAATATTAATTGGGAGTATTTAAAATACAAAAGCAAAAATACCTCAAAAGACTACCCATTACCACGTCATTTAATAGGAAGGTATATGGAAATATTCTAAACTGGAACATACTACTACATCTGATCTCAAAAGCATACAGAATCTAAGAACAGAATCTAAGATTTATTTAGGTGCTGAATCTATCTACCATCCCTCTCAAAAGGTTTATTTAATAAACTGTTTTTAAACAGAAGGAATTCCAGCAGCACATTAAGAATTAAAAAAGAAAACAGAAATAATAAAATGTTAAAATGTAGGAGGGGGAGCAGAAAGGGTTAAAATACATATATCTTTTTCCTTCAGATTTGCCTTGTGGGTTTTTTTCTTTTGGATCTCAACCAAAGGATAAAGCAGTAAAGACAAAAAACAACTCAGAGAAGATATATGCAGGGTAAAAAATCCAAATCGGGAACACCCCAAAACAAACTAAAATGATGACAGTATAAAAGTTAGTTATCAACATTCCAGATAGCTCTGGGTAGAAAGGGTTAAAAGTTCAAAACTTTCTCACCTTAGAGGTTTCCATATATTATGAAGAAGATACACGGTGAGGCTGCCGTCACAGCACTGATGTGCAGAGCGATTAAAAAAGTGAGACATGGGCACTTGTACAATGTCTTACAAAAAACATCATAGAGAAATAACAAACAATAACAATTTCAGGCAACAAGACCACAGGATAGCAAGTTAACAAACTTTTTAACCTCTTTTTTTTGTTTTTTGTTTTTTAAATATCAGGGATTTATACAAAACACATAATAAAATACCCATGTTATCAAATTACTTCTCACAAGAAACACACCGAAGCTCTAGGAAGGAAGTACCTTTGGAATTTGGCACTATATATTTTCACTTTTTTTCTTTAAAAGAAAAAAAAAATCACATTTTGCTGAACACAAACACATCTAAATAGTCCACAATAAAAAAAAATGACATCAATGCTTTACAAGCCAACACAAAACTTATTCTGGAATAGATTTTTTTTTCCCCCTCACATGAAATATTTTTTAAGCAAACAACTGTTGTTTTGAAATTCTTTGTTAAGTAAACCAATTCTAAACTTGTCTTATCAACAAAGAACATTAAGACCATAAGACTCATGATGAAACCACAACTTAATTCACAGAAGCACCAACGCAACACAGTTTACAGTAACCTTTCTCCTGTACATTGAAACAGTATAAAATATAGGTAATTTCATGTGCATTAAACCATGGATTGTCTAACTGTGAGTCAGTTCAGCAAAAGGTGACACAAATAGGTAGCATTTGCCCCAAAACAGGGTAAATATTTTTCTTATACTAATCTACAAAAAGTGGTTCTATATATATATCTTAATGAGAAAGTGAGCCACCTAAAATGGCCTTATCAAAAAACTTTACACTGCCTGAAAAATGTAAAAACTATTACAGACCTCTAGAGACTTAAAATCAGACAGTTTTTTTCTCAAACTGTTTTTGGAAGTAGTCTGTTAGAAACCAACATTCTGTGTCCCTGGACACATATTGCTATTGTTACCAGTGACCGGGAAGAATGCCAATCCCTGTATAATACTTTCAAGTCTGTTTTATGAAAAGAAAAAAATAAGAAAGAAACATTTTTGCCACAGGTTTTTTTTTACTATAATTAATTTTTCTAATAATTTCAGTCTTGCATGAATGCAGCAATGTTTTTCACATTGACTTCCCAGAATTCATAGCTAGATGAGGTCACATGCAAATTTCAAAGGTCAAACTAGATCAAAGGTCAGTAGGAGAACCAAATATGATGTGAGGTCAGAAAGACATCAGAAACAATGACGGGACGATGAAACTTTTTTTGAGACGCCACAGGGACATGCTAGGCAAACGGTGAACTAACGGGCATGAAGATGTCTAGGGAGAAAACAAGGGAGAGTAAAAAGTTACACAGAATCTACTCAGCAGCAACAAAATCACTCTTAAGGGTGCGGGAGAAAAACTAATGCAAATCTTAGGTCATTGGGGAGTCTACGAGCCATCCACATAATTTGCATTTCTTACAACCTTTATCCACAGCACAATGGAACCCCAAGAGAATCCATCCGGAGAGGGGGAGGGGATGGATTCCTGGTAGTTTGGGGTGAGGGGCTGGCAAGGGACAGGGGAGGATCCAGTTTCAACGGATGTGACATAAGGGGAAAGTCAGACAACTGAACTGTAAACTAGATAATGGAAGTTACGAACAAAATAATCAGACAGATACAAACAACGAGAGGATAAAGCATGAAATTTAGGCCTAGGGTCCAACAGTGAAAAAAAGCCCATTCCTAGAACGATTCCTTTAGAGACTACTTCAGAAGGATCTAGCTAGCACAGAGAGCTGTTCTTTAGGTACCCAATAAGTTAACAATAGGCAATAAATAACTTCCATTATTTCTGAGGCAGTAAAAATTTTGTACAAAAATAGAAATGCTTTTTTTACAAATAAAATTTACAGGCCTGTGGCTTTCTTTTTTATTTATGTATTATTTATGTATTATTTATTATTAAATTTATCTTTCAAGAAACATCAAGTATTTTCATTCATTTTTATTTTATTTTTAAACCCTGTAGCTTTAAGAAACAGATCTCTAAATCTTTTTTACATTAATCCTTTCTAAGAACTAAAATAAAACAATAACAAAATAGACAACCAGTATAATAACCTGACCAATAAATGTCATGTTGCTTTGAACCCTAAAATAAAATCCTACTTATCAAAACAAACCAAATGTAGTGGAAAGACGTTTGTATTGTTTTAAGTGCTTCTCCTGGCTTTTCTCTTGCTCTAGGCCACCACCTTGACCTCTAACCAGCTGGCGCCCTCCTAGGGGTGAACAGGACAGGAGGGGTGAGTTCTCCAGGCAGTGCTCTCAGGGCACCAGGGGGGGTCTCTGAGTTAGAATTGCACATTAGCCTTTGTTTGCCTTTTCAATTGTCAAGATGTCATTTATTTGTGTATGTTTTCCTTTAAAAAAGCAAAAAACAAACAAAAAAACAGAAAAGGTAAAAGGAGATTCAAATTGCAAAACAAAGAATACAGTGGCACAACTGGAGGAGTGTACTCGATAGAAACAAGGTAGCCCAGGTTTTAAATATGGCGAACTGGGTGAAGGGTGGGAGGGGGAGGTGGAGGCCTTATTGTAAAAATAACCGTCTCTCTTGGTAAAAGTTGGCAATGTGGTCCTCCTCTGCCTTTCCTGTTGAGAACAGGCTGGCTCTTGGGACTTACCCTAAGAAAGCTAAAACAAAGCAGGGAGCCTCTGGGGTTAGGATCAGTAAGGTTTGCTGTCGTTTTTGGAGCGCTTCAGCTGGACCTTCAAGCGTTTCATGCCAATCTGAAAGCCGTTCATAGCCTGGATAGCAGCTTGTGCAGACACGGGATTGTCGTAGCTAACAAAACCTGGAAAACAGAAAGGGAAGGAAGGCAGGAATCAAGATGGAGAGGCGGTGGAGAGAGAAGGGGGCCAGGGCCCCCCCGGAAAGTGTAACTGCAAATGGTGAGTACATGTGCCGATGCCGTGGGCAAACAGGACACATTTTAGGGGCCACAATGGGAATGTCCGCGGAGAAGCCGTGAAAAGGCTAGGTGGACAGGTAATTGGGTTTGACGAGAAAACTCCTTTGCAGAAAGCTACAATTTCCACCTCAGTTGTCTGAGTAAATTTAGTCTCTTTGCTTACTGATTTCAGTCAAAGTCCACTTGTGTTTCAAGTCCCTTAGAATGTTTCTGCAAGAATCCCAGGTACATGGTAAGTGCTGCTCAGATAAGTGGTGGATAAATATGCAGGGCCGAAAGGGCCCCAGAGGCTCATGTATCCCCACCAGGCTGAATTGGAGAGGCGGGATAACTAAGGGAAGGACCGGCCAACACGGTGTGCTGCCAGATGCCCCCACCTTTCCTTCTCTCTCTTACAGAGCCCCCACTCCTTTGGCTCTAGGATGGGGTCAGTGAATTAACTGTAGAATAGTTTATACTTGGTTTTTAACATTTTAGAGTTGTTACTGAGAGGCACCTAGGGATGCAGGGGAAATGCTGGGCCTTCTTCCTTACCTGAACTTCCATTTTCAAAGTTCCACTGAATGCAACAGAATGGAAATTGCTACCTTCATAGTCCCAAGACTCTTGGGGGATATACAGTCTTAACAGCTCAGGGCTTAACGGTCCTAACAGAGTTTCCAGTATCCTTCTCTATTCCAACACTCACCACCAAAAAAGATAGGGAGGGCACGCTTTTGAAAGAGAACTGACTGTGCTCTGCAAAGACCAGGAGGCAGAATTCTGATCATGTGTCTGTTCTCACCAGAGGGTGAGATGGGCAGGGGCGGGTGGTGCCACAATGTCGGTGCCAAAGTGCTGAGCTCAAATGGTCCCTACTTACTTTTTGGTAGTGAGAGGAAGCTATTATACTAGTTGCCTTTCAGTTCTGAACGTCAGCTGTTTAGAAGGTTCTATATTAAGCTTCTCGATATACTTACTATTAAAGTTTAAAGTTAAAGAGAAAATTCCTTTACAAACTAGAGGAGGAAGAAAAGGACATGAATATGCCTTTAGCAGAGTTCTCAGCTGATAAACCTGAGTATACGGTAGAAAGTTTCTGATAGGCAGGCTGAACTGCAAAACAGTGGCTTACACTTTTTTGAAATCTAATTTTGAATAAATGTGATCTTGAAGCTAAAATATTTGCTCAGACTTTATCCTTTCCCTGTGGATTTTCAGCCAGAATCAGAAGTTCCGTTCTGATTAAAGAATGGAAACAGGTCAAGAGTGCATTGGATTAGGAAACCTGGCCAAGAGGCTAGAACAAAAGAATGGGGTTATTACCCTGTGACTAGCAAACCTGGGCCCCCAAGGAGCTGTTAAACTGGCTCATTGAGAAACCTTGGTATGGGAGGCTACGGCTTTTATAAAAATAAAAAATACCGTCCACTAAACTAAATTGTCTGCTGATACTCATAGCTGTAACTCACGTTCTTATGAACACATAGGTTAAGTAGCCTGTGGGCTGACATGCACTCTTTTAAAAGCAGTACTTTCTGAAAATCCAACCATGAAGCTCAATCCTTTTCCAATCTCCAGATCAGCCCAGGACATTGTTTGGCAATGAGCAATATAAAAGTCTGGCTCAAAACCGGTGCAGGGAAGCTCCCAAAGGTAGGCTCACACTGAAACACACACACTTTATGTAATAACCAACCCCAGTCCACTCTCTCCTGAACCGTTACCCGGGGGCTGATGGGCTTGCTGCAGCAATAGTGTAATGGGTTCAGGCCAACAGCCTTTCCACTGGGTAAAAAGAGTGACTTAAATGGTTGATGTACTAATTCCCCTAACAGCAGAAGCTTCAGACCTTCCTGGGCAGTAGCACGGAAGTTAGACGTCATGATAATGAAGTTTCGGAAGCCAAACATCTTGGTTGCTCATTAATGGTAAGCCAGATACTAAGTGTGGCTGAGAACCAGCCTACTGCCTTTGATGTTTTACTTTATACCATACCATTCTATTTGTATTATTTCCTCCGGCCCATATGTATTCTACTTTATTTTGTTTTATGCTACTCGTAATACCTACTACCAACAGGAATTAGTAAATTGGAGGGTGACTTGAGCATTTGAGTCCTTCCTCAAACTGGGCCAGAACTTGTCCAGTAATATATACTCTGAACATTCTGCTTCTAAACTACTGTGGGGACTAGAAGGGTTTGAAAAAAAACAAGCAATAATGAATGCTTTCCTCTTGGTGTAGGACATTAGTGCCTGCCATGAGCTTGTCTTCCTCTCTTTGAGCAGAGAAAGGCCTTGGGTGGCCAAGTCTCGGCTGCTTGAGGAAGGAGGGCATAACAGCTCAGGCTGCCAAGGAGCTGGGTTTCCCATGTCCTCAGAAGACCTGCCCCTCCGTGCTCTACGGCCACTCAGGCGGTCCCTGCAGGTCCTCTCAGCCCACCTCCTGGCTCCCAGCACAGTGCGGTGCTTTATGTGACCATGAGATACTAACCGGCCATCCCTGTGCTCCCGGACCTGCACTGCGGAGAGTGGTCCGACCTTCCCTCTACTAGGAAGATGTGCAGTGTGTATGGACATGCTGAGCAGTAGGCCCCAGTGTGTCACATGCATCCATGGTGGCTCAGTCACCCTGAACCTGGCAGGGTGAGGAATTAGTGGTACAGGGGTCGCAGTGCCGCTCTGTATCAGGACAGCCTACACTGCAGTTCGTTAACTGCATTCCCATCTGGTAGAGTTTGTGGTCCAGTCTACGAGACCTAAAGGAACTGCTGTTGCTCTACGATGAGCAAGTGCCACACGTAGGTAGCAACACACATCTACAGGTACAGCATTACCTGATGTATGGGCAACTGGTTTTACTTCCCAGATCCTTCCTTTTTCTACAGCCCCTTCCTCTTTCCTTAACTGTTTTATTAAACGACTTTGCCCAGTCTGCTCCTATGGATCCAGGATCCAGAGAACCAGGAACCACCACCACACAGGGACAGCCCTGTCCTGACTTCTACAGTGTTTGCCATTTACATCTTCCTCCCCGTGGCTCCGCAGTGGGGGACGTGCTGTAACATTCTAGCTTGGTTTCTGTTGCATACCAAAACACTTGCTCAGATTGGTCTGTTTGTCAATGAAGACTTTAGCAGAGATAACATTTCCAAAAGGCATGAACATCTGCAGAATGTCCTGGTCTCCAAACTCCTGTGGAAGGTGGTAAATAAAGAGGTTTGCACCCTCTGGACCTAAAGAGGAAACAAAAACCAGAGTAAGGTATTCTTCGCTTCTTATTCCCGAAGCCTCTTCTTAGGAACGCTTTAACAATAGGCTAAGCCTCGGGCTTTCCCTCACACCGAAAGAGGAGAAAATAGAAGCATAAAATGCTATGTGCCAATCTGTCTTTTAGGAAAGCAAACATGCTTTAAGTTTTCATCATTTCCTCAGAAACACTGGTTAAGAATGGCTTCCTTTTCACTGATAGTTTTCTGTGGGCCACATCTGCTCACTACACATGCGGAATATGCCAATCTCTTCATGGGTGGGGGTCACAGGATAGAGAGGGGAGGAGAATGCAGGCACCGGTTTACCTGGGTGGCCGTGTTTTGCGGTGTGTATATAGTGTCTCCCCGAGGAGAGTGTGTCCTCTGCATTCTAAGCAAATTGGAGCAATTGAGAATAATGGATATAACAGTAATGCTGCTTGGATTTCTCAATCATTTACCTAATTATCCATCCAGTTTTGATTTGCCAAATCTCTTAACACGCAGTCTAATAATCATCTTTATTAGAGATGACTGGCAATGAGTCAAGGCAGGAAAACTAGGTAGGCAGAGTTTTACAACTGTAACAGGCATTATCCCACTGGGAATTGGTTTTGGAAATGAAGACACGCTATGCAGCAGCCAGTCAGAGACTGAGCTGAGCCAGGCTCTTTATTTTCACCCATCAGTTTCTAGAAATACAACAAACAAGGGCAGAATGAGGAAGATCTGAGCTACACTGGTCAGAGAGGTAAGTTCTCCTAAGTTCCTTTCCATTTCATTCTCCTTCCTCTAGCCATCTGCACAAGAAGTATCTGAAGGTTAAAGGAAGCAAAAACTAGAGAAAGGTGGGAATCCAAATGACCTGATGGAAGGTAATCATCTTCCAATATGTAACAGGCAAGGATGCTTTCCAGGTCAAAGGGTGCTAGGACTAGTTGCACATTCTTTCCCAGATGGTTCTGGTGAGGCCCGGGGGTAGAATGCCTCTAGGATGCCCTATGTTCTGGGCATGGTATCTGGGAGGGAAGGGAGATCATAAAATCGGCAGAGTAACCTCTGCATCTGGTATGTGGAACCTTAACTGGCATTCACAGGAGGAACCAGGACCGGAAGGCCCTGGGGATAAGCTGCAGTGGCTGGGAGTCCACGGGAATGGGTCAAAGAAAACCATAAAGGGGTACAAAGAACTGTGTACACATAAAAGTGATGAATATCTTTGCAAAGGAGAGTTAAACCAGTTAACTTCCTACAAAAAAAATCGTAAAAGATATGTTCTAATGAATGGGGCTTTTTCACAAGGAAAACTTCTTGAGGCAAATTTCTGAAGCCAAAGACAAAGCCTTTCTTCTGTAAGTGTCAATGTGACCATCTGACCTTCCCAGATCGCTCAGTTTCCATGGACGTGCCACGTCCGACGCAGAGGTGGTCTGTATGTAAAAGGACACAGGCTTTCATCCCCATAATAGTTCTTGGCTTAGAAAAATTCTTAGAAGTGCAAACTGAGTAGATAGAACCCCCAAACACTGGAAATGGGTGTTCTCAGTGTAGTGTGCCACGCCCTCCCTGCACTTTGTACACTGGGCATGTCTGGCACTATCCAGACAAAAGATCCAAACTTGCAAATGAGGACAGATGGCACCTAGTCTGAACCATGAGGTCGGCTCAGCCCCTGAAACTTGGTTTGGGGGGGGGGCGGGGAGAAATGCAGATTCAATGCCTGTGCCTGGGTAATCCTAGCATTCCAGACGGCTCTACAATTCAGACTGTTTCCCTGCCAGATGGGGCCCGAGAAAAATGTGAAGACAGGAAACTCCGAAGAGGCTTTGTCCTCTTAGTCATCGTTTTTCCAGGAAAAATGCCACCGTCTCCCACTATAGACCCATTTTTCCATCTCCAAGGAATAGTTTGATTTTACAAACCACCAACAACGTTAACACCCAAATGAAAAAAGCAGACTGGACATGGAAAACACCCCTGAGTGAAGGCAGGCAGCTGCTGCCACAGAGGCCAACGGTAAGAAGTAAAAACTGTTTTGAGAGCTCCCTGTCCGCCGCACCTTTCCCTTCAGAAGCTGGCTGACAGATCACACATTCCTCAGATTTCTCCTAGTACACGGTATTTTAACTTGGTAGAAGTCTGTCATATTGTTGGTCTCAGCTGGTTGGCATTCCTATTTTGTATTTCTCTTTCTTCTGGTTCACTCCCTTGATTTGAGTCCCAGTTTCCTTTCCATTACTATTGGTTTTCTGTGCATTTCCCTTCATTTCAGTTATTTTAGCCTTCATATGTTCCTCTAATTTGTGACTAAAATCAACCAGTTCTGTGAGCATCCTGATCACCGGTGTTTTGAACTATGCATCTGATAGGTTGGCTAACTCTTGGTTGCTTAGAATTATTGGCTCTGGGGCTTTGAATTGTTGTTGAGCGATAATGTTTTGGTCTATTTGCGCCTGTTAGGTATGAGGGGCGGAGCCTTAGGTGTTCACCAGGGCGGGACGACCCAGTAGCTGGGTTGTGATGCTGTATGTGGAGGCGGGGTCAGAAAGGGGCAATGGCGGTCCCCAATGCTGCTTCCTGAGCCGCTGGGGCCTGCGTGGTCCATCTCACTGCTCGCTCATTTGCCTGGTTTATCTGCATGTGAATGTGTGACCGCGGTCAGCCTGCTCCTTGCGCCCTCACTGGGTCTGCCCGTTGCAACCCTGTGCCTGGGTCGGTCTGGCTGAGTTTTCCTGTGCAACCCTGCTCTGCCAGCTGCTGGCTCCCCCCCTCTTACCAGTCTGGCTGAACGGTTCATTGTTGTTGGACTTCCATACAGTTCAATTTTGTGTTTCGGTTGCGTTTTTGTTACTAAAACTTTGTTGTCTTTAAACTTGGTTGTGTGAGGAGGCACAGTGTTTCCACCTACGCCTCCATCTTGGCCGGAAGTCATCCATATTTTGTATTTCTAACTGGGCACCGGGTCTGGCATAAAGCACTGAGGGTGTTCGCATCAGACCACCGGCTTCCCATGGGGTGTCCGAGGCTCCTCCTACTTGTGTGTGTGTGTGACCTGCCTCCTGCAAGCATGGGACGATGGAAGGTGTGAAAGGGGCCAGAGTGAATTCAGGCAAGGTGGTTGATTTCTCTGGATTTAGATCAGTCGGGATGCCGTAACCCTTCAGAAGACTTAAAACCAAATGCTTTACAAAGCCAGACCAGCTCATGTTCCTGTGGGGTAATACACACCAGGGCACGTGACTAAATGTATCAAGCTGACTCACCTCTCTTGACTGAAGGACAGAACTATGAAGTGATAACTCTAAAACTCTATTTGATATAATTCATTATGAGATTTTTTTCTTTCCCAGTATAACTTGCCTTTCATATTATTTTAGTTAAACTAATATTAAGATGGCTCACATTTCTTGAATTCATGTTAACTGGATGAGAAAGAAGGTATGAGAAAGTGAGAGAGAATTAAAAACAACAAAGAAACCCCACACCATGCCACTGGTGGCCTGCATACCTAAATACACAGAATCTGGAGTTGGTGACTGTCACTTCCAACTGTTTCATACTAATCCCAGAGGGCTAGTTACTGCACAAGCAATCCCGAAAACCCAAGGCACGGACTAAGTTTAGGGCCGTGGGCTAGAGTAAAGCAGCTAAAGAAAATGGTGTTTCCAGGCCCAGACTCTCTGCGTCAGGCACTGAAGTTTGAGTCTCCTGCTGACATTGTCCCAGCAACACAGGCTCTGCAGCCTGCCGTGAGGTGCTGCTGGTAATGGAGAGGGCAGCAGAGGCAAGTGGGGCACCCGGCTGCATGGTCCCTTCTGAGGAAGTCATTATCTTCCAGGACCCTCCTGCTGCTCTCATTTGTCACCACTACAGTCCGACTCCAGACAAGGGGCCTCTGAGCAGGCTTTTGTGGAGTCGTGTGTATGACACCGCATCTCCACACGGCTGGGGGAACAGCCTCCGACCCCGTGTACATGTTCAAAACATCTATGGTGGTCACAACTGGGAGTAAAGAGAAAGTGAAGTAATGGTTTTTCACATAGCTTCTATTTTAAACAATCTCTGATTTTTACAAACAGAAAAAAGCCTTTTTTAAAAAAAACACGAGTATCTTTAAAGCTATGTTCTCTTTAAAAATTCACAACTTTGTAAAGTAAAACTATTATTTCTTTATAGAATACTACATTTAAAGTCAAAGTATTTAGACAAAACGGTTTGGAATTACGGGGTGAGGGTAAAGGAGAAGGGAAAGAAATCAAGCCAAAGTCTTCAACAACATGTCCCCATTCTAGCTGCTTATCCCATATTCTTAAGTCAGAAAGGGAATCAAAACCATGTTGAAAATTCTGCTTTTAAAGCAACCGCAATTAAGAAAGAAGAAGCCAAAAGAAGAGAGAAAAAGAGACAACTCTTCCTATTTTGACTAGCTCATTAACTATTTTATAATTAGCTTTAATTTATTCTGAACTTTAACTTCCTGACGTTCATTTTGCTTTACTGGCACAGAAAGCAGTGCAATCAATCACTTATTTGCTGCTCCCCAGAAGACCCCCCAGTTCAAGACCGAGTCAATCCTAACAGTAGATTTATTGTTAACCTGGAAACGACCGCCTGCTAAGAGGCAGGCTACGCTGTCACAGCACGGCCTGGGATGGGCTGGACAGCTTCATCCCTCCCACTGAGGAGGAGCTGCATGTGCGGGGAGAAATAATGCTGATTTGGGAGAAAGCGGGGGAGTTCCTAGGAATTTTTTTGATGGCAGCAATTACTAAGCAATTGTGTATAAACACATAGTGGGTGAGAAACCCATCTCAAGAGGTAGCTGAAAAATTAAAAGATATAAGAAATATAAGTCTGAACAGGAAAGATTGAATCAAATGGTTTAAGATAATCAGGTTTCTCGAATGAAAAATCACAAATACTAGAAATAAAAACAATTGCTTTCTAGCTCAGTCTAGGTGTTATGAAAAGGCGCATCGAAGCTGAAAGGTGCCCGTCAGGCCGGCCACACCGGGAGCGCCGGGCCGAGGGCGGCACGTACCTTCCTTCTGGCTGCCCGCCGCGCTCTGCTGCTGCAGCAAGCTCTGGCTGTACAGCGTGGGCAGTGCCGCTGCTGCGTACTGCTGAATCCCTGAGTAGGCCTGGGTGAGGGCGTCCATGGTGCCCGCTGTGCCGTTCGTCAAGCCCGTGGCGCCAAGTCCTCCATTCAGAGCCGCCATACCTGAGAGCATTTGAGCAACTTTACAAAAAACCCAACAATAGAGAAGAGAAACAGCACTTTTCATTAGTGCTTTCCAAAGGAAGTTAGAGAATCGTTTGACACAAGTACAACAAATAGCAAGTGCATGCAGCCAGCGTACCGATGAAAGCAACACCAACTTAAAATAAAACAATGAAGTCATACTGACAGTCATAGCATACAGTAAAAGCACACACAGCAGCAACGAGCGATGAGAACCCTCACTTCCTAGGCCAGCGACCAACACGCACCGAGGTGCTCCAGTCAAGACAGTGCGTCTTCATTCCATGCAGCGTGCTACTGGCAAGTGCTGGGGTGAGCCTTTGGGAATCAAGCCTCCTGTTGCTTCTTAGAGCTGAGAAGCCAGTAAAAAACATTACTGGCAGGGGCCTGCAGCATCTGCACCGTTAAATGTGTTTATTGGGCTCTTGGAGGACCCAAGAGGTTGAGGTGGAAAGGAAAACATAAAGCTCCTCTCCTGTAAGCTGTCCGAGGAGGAAATGGCAGAGAGCCAAGCTCCACACTCGATGGCCCAGTGACTCGGCAGTCCCACTAACCGGCTCTCCCACACAGGGGAAAGTTGCCAGGACCAGGAGCTTAGGAATAGCCTTTAGCTGATGAAGAGCGAAGAAGGCACAGGAAAAAATGCGGGCCATTCTCCTAATTGCAGAGACTGAAGTTGCTTATTCACTCTGAAAGGCTACACATGGAATGGGGCCATTTGTTTTCAGCAGCAAATAGATGCTTAGACAGACAGGCAGACACACACACGAGTATCAATCAGTGCCCATGTAACTGGGGGTTTTGCCAATGGAAGGGCTGCGTGTCGTGTTGTCCAGTTAACTGAAGCGGACACCCGTTTTTGGTGAGCTGGGTCTCGGCTCTTCGCCGATGTGAACTGGATGTTGGCCAGCATACTTTTTTGATTTTTTTCTGCTTGTATCCTGGCTGTTCTTCTGCTCTATTATGGTTGTTGATTGTGTCATATTTTCCCTGAATACTAAGTCAAAACAAGCGAGACTTTACAGAGTGTTAACTTTCATATGAGCTCAGGAAGAGGTGACATCATAATTGTCTTTTGTTCCTTTTATGATTAAACCTTTTTTTCCCCCCTAAGCTCTGTTTCTGGGAGAACTTTACTGAAAACATTAGTGAAAATCTATAACATTAGTAGCATTACACTTGGGCTATTGATCAGGGCTATAACGGAAAAACGTTGGTAGGAAGTCTGCAGGGAACAGAGAACAGAGAGGTAAGGATGCTTAGGAAATGTGCCGGAATCGCCAGGACGCTCCTACCGGCATTTTGCTTCTTGCTGTCCTCGGGAAGCAGGGGTGGGGGATGTACTGCTTTCTCCATAGTGCTTGTTATTTTGACAGCTTCACCTCTTTGATTAAAAGAAACTGCATATACAATATGAATCAGACCACTGCTTTACAATAGAAGACTCTTACAGTGTCTTAGGTCCAGTACTGTTCCTGGGGGCTTGAGGAGACAGATCTGGGCCCTGGGTGATGTTCCCGACTAGACAGAGGCCTGAGGTGGGTGGAGTGAGTGCAAGGAGAGCCTGGAGGGCGGGAGAGTGGAGCAGGACCTGCTGGAAAAGGAGACCAGGAACACTGGAGACACGAAGGCAGGGAGGGGTTGGTTAGCCAGCAGAAGGCCTGCTGACTCTGCTTTAAGTTTCTTCTTGTGAAGGAGTCTCTCAAGTTTTTTTGGTCAGGCAAATAAATGCTGTTAAAGAGCTTGGACACAGTTTGTCCTCCTAAGTAAACAACCCCTCAGACGACTCACCACATTTACCTCACTGCCTCTCTTCTTCTCCATCCCCATTATCCTGCAGAGCCACTGAAGGGATGGGGAGTAACTTCATCTTTCGGTCTTCTTATTTCACCCTCATCTCCCGGTATTTGTGTGAGTGCAAAGAAACACCAGTGTTTCTTTCCTCAGAGAGGTGAGAGGAGGTTGTAAAACAGCTGGGGAAGAGCAGAGCACAGTTGCTAAGTGCTGCTGCTTTCATTTTTGTCAGGCCGTTAATAGGTGCTAGGGATTCGGATGGTCATGCCACGGCTCCCCTCTGGAGAGTGAGGTTTCTGTGTGGGAGGAAGTGCTAGGAGGAGGGTGAGCAGTGACGTGCCACTCCACTTCTTATGGGCCCAGGTGTGCTTTCTGGCCTACAGAGCTACGGGGGACACAGCGGCCCGACAAGCAGGGGCTGAAGCCAGAAGCTCCACTTACAAAGAATGTCCCCGAATTCCCTGGACAGCAACGGGATGGTCGCAAGCACTACCTCTCCCTGACGCCGTGCCTGCTAAGGGCCTCGGCGCGTTCAGGCCCTCCTGGGGGAAGCAGGAAGGAGAGCCGTCCTGGGATCTGCGGCTTCTCCAGGGGGCTCACACACGGGGGGGCGTTTACCTGCCAGTTGCTGGTGGCCCTGACTCCCTTCCCCTCTGGGACGGGCCCTCTTTACTGTCCAGGATAGGTGAACGATCTTCGCTTTCTCCCTTTTTGCCATTTTTTCCCTTTTGAAACAGAAGCAGAATGAACTTCACGCTCCCGAGACACTGGATAGATGTGCCAGGAGTGGGGTCCTGTGTGGCCCGCGGCTCCAGCCACCTCTCACACTTGTTCCGCTTACACTTCGTAGCGGTGGGCTGTGATTTGGGACTCTCTCTCAGGGCAAACCTGCTCTCTGAAGGTTCTGCTTGCTTCAGCTGGTTCTGTGTGTGCGAGGTAGTCAGGCTGGCCTTATCTGTTTGGGGCGGGAGAAGGCAGACGAGGTGCCAAGTAAAAGGGGTGTCCTGCCACTCGGGCCTCTCCAGCCCATGGCATAACCATCCTTTGGACAAACAATAGGGATAAAAATTCTAGTGAGTACAAGTGTATTGAGAATATTTAAAACCAAACTTATCCTGGAAATTCTGGTGTATTTGCCAAAAATGGAGGCAGAATAGGTAACTGATTACCTGGTAGAATTTGAAGGAGCTTCAAAGGAAGATTTCAACCTCTGAGAGTTATTCCTGTGGATTAACTCATGTTATTCTGTATTAAATAATCATATCAAAGATAACATGTCAGTTCAGCTGCCGGTACGTCATTATGTCCAAACACTTGGCACAAAAGAAACAGGCTTAAAGAAGGTTGAGTAAAATGCTTTACCCCTTAACAAATAGGACTTTGCTTTGAAAAGGCCAAATGGATTGGTCATTTCACCCCGTTTAATCCAGGTTCCCACGAAAGCCACTGGGATGCGAAGGCTGGGACAAAGTCAGGTGTGTCACACCTCCGCAGGAGAAGGGCCTTGCAAATGGCCTATCAAAAAAGTTAGTGTGTCAAAAAAGTTAGTGTGTATCTTGACTGCTAAGCACTGGAAATGTCACTGCTCTCCGGAAGTCCTCATCTGATGGGAGACCTGAGGAACGGTGAGATTACTGACTAGCTCCGTGAAAACGACACAGATGGACCCCCCCCATAAATATGAGCTCGACATTTTTTTCTAACTGCTATGAAGGTGGCCCTGAACTGGAGAATCAGAGGCCAAGCAAACTACAGTTGTTTTCAAGCCACTCTGCTGCGCTTTCTACCAAATAAAAATAGAGTGAAAATGAAGAATGTATTGATGTATTCACACAGATTTGAAATCTGCTTACTAAGTTTCCCTGGTGTAGGTGAAGCATATCCTTCTAAGCTGCAAGCTGACAATAAACTTACATATAAAATGTCTAGAACCAGGGTAGGTGAGTGAGAATAGTACATACGGGACATTCACATGTATGCTGGTGTTGACATGGTCACAAAGTGTGTGTGAAACCTCACATTCTGTGCTTATGTATACATCTTGGTACATTCCAATGATACAGATTAAAAGTCATTTCACACTATAAATAGAGCGACAAGCCAAAATAACATGCCCAAAGCATCTTTTCTTTTTCCTCCTTTGCAAAAGATATTCACCAGGCATTTGTGGTTGGTTATATCCAGACCACCATAATTTTAAGCACTATATGGGTAAGCCACTTAAACACACAAAATCAGGTTTCCACTCCTGGGTGGATATATCTGCAAAAAATATTTTCACCTTAGCTCAGATATGAATATTAAAAACATGCCTGAAGAACCATTAAATATCTGTAAGCAAAAGCCCTGTTAGTGATTCACCCACATTTCTTCTGATCTGGACAATTTCCACTTTTAGCTTTAGTGTGCTGTACTAAATGAATGTGTGAAGGAAGGAAAAGGAGATCAGATTCAGTTAAATTTAGCCAATTGTCTGCTAACCAAAACTTGAGGGGGGAAGGAAGAGTAAATTTAGCACTAAGATGAGCTGAGAATTAAGTGTGGGTTCCATCCACCTACTTCCATCTTGGCCCCTTTTTCCATGGGAAGGAGTTAGCTCTATAAGGTAAACCAGGAAACTCTCCCGGCAGCGAGTAGTGGCCCCTGGGAGGGAGGGGATAGGAAACAGCAATGACATGGAAGCCGAGGTCAAGTACTTTAGGAGCTGCCGCTGTCCAGGTAACTTTCCTGATGACCTGCTTTGAGAATTAGTAAGACAGGTAGCATCACCATGTACGTTGAGGGACAATGGTCTGAAAGGGGCCACCCTGTGTTAGGTTTTCTCCTTGTGTTTGAGACAGAAGCAAGTATTAGCTGCTAGCTGTTGCTGGCATTGTTAAACAGCCCTGAACTAGAAACATCACCAAATCAGAAAGAGTGTATTTTTATTTTGGCATGGTTTGTAACTGAAAACATTTTCCTGGTTCATACTCTCTGGTAGTAGTAATTTGAAACTAGAAGCATTCTTAATTTCCCACGAACTATACAAACATATTAATCCAATGGCAAAGAATTTTAAGAAGCAAAACAACTTAAGCCTGTTGTCCTTGCCAGAAGCAAAATTTGTGTAATGCAAATATCACATAAGAACCAGTCACGGTGTCTCTGCCACTCAACGAGTGGCCCCTCTCTAGCCCCTCGTGATGATGGACGATGCCAGCAAAGCACAACACGCGACAGGATGGAGACAGCCAGACACACAGACAAGAGGACAACACACAACAGGCATGAGCACGTGCTGAGGAGGACAGCCACTCCCACTGGCCTGTTACTTTGCAGACCAAGGACAGGCAGGCGATCAAATCAAAGTCCTTGTTTTAGGGGAACTAGGTCCTGGGGCAAGAGAAGCAGCATGGAAGGCTGTGTGCAAACACACACACCTGCAACCGAGGGCAAGGACAAGTGGGCTGGAGCGTCTGCAGAACAAGGTCAGAAACAGGAGTCAAGGCACTGAGGGCTCTTGGCCAGGCGGGGGCTGGAGGCGGTTTTACTGGATAAAATGTCTTGCTGTGTGTGGTTACCACTTCATACACTGCTAATGAAGAGCCATCATGCATGGAAGGACAGATGTTTTTCTTCTTTTTGGTTCATGGTCAGATAAAACTCAGTTCAAGTTTTTGTTTTTTCTAGAGCATCTGAAGGAAAGGATTTAATAAAACCTGAATATTTCCTACCTCTAAATATACGACTTGTTTTCTTATCAGGATTGTGTTAGCTTTCATTTGGATGAGTTCTAGGTTCTTTTTTATCAAATACATTGCAAGGTACTATTTTTGAGGTTTTAAAGTATAGAATTACTGGGATTTTTTTTTGACTTATTGAATTATGGCTTAAAACAGAGCAATTCGCCAAGAACCCCTTTCTTAGTGCTGAAAATGGGTGGTGTTTGGTTGCCTGGGCTGCATGGTAGGCAAGTGGACCCCCAAATCGGGATCTCTTTGGGCCATCACGGACCCGATGGGCTTAGCTGCTCTCAGGCTCCCGGGACCAAGCTGAGGGAAAGGCAGATGAGTTGCCTGCCCTGTGGGCTGAGGACCTCGCCCAGCGCAGGAGCCAACTCCAAGCATGAGCCTCCAATATGCTTATCTGCGGCAGGGTACTGTCCCCATACACATCTCAAGTGCCAGACATGGGTACGAGACGGAGGACAGAACCTAGAGTTCCTTAGCGAGTCCCCACGCTCCAGAACTGGGTGACTGGCTGAGCAGTCTGCCTCACCCTGTGGTGGTGGACCGGCATCCCTTGGAGCTGCATTGATCAGTGACCCCCACCTGCGGTGATTCATAAAGACTCCTGACTGTTCCCTTTGGCGGTGGCTCCTGTCTGCTCAGCTGGATTTCCTTCTTTTCAAGGCCTCATTCGCTCCCCCGCCCCCATAAAACTGTCATGAATCTTTGGGTTTTTAGAGCTGGAGGGCACCTTTAAGATCATCTGATCCAGAACTTTCAATTTCCAAATGGGAAAATGAAGCTCAGAGTGGGGCAGTGATTTGCCTAAGATTCTACAAGTAATTGCTCGCAGATTGGGGGCTGGATCCATGTGTCCTGATTTCTGGTCCATCAATTTGCCTATTATTAGCACACTGCCTCTTAGAAGAACAGAACAAATCCGAAACCCAACCAAACCCCTCAAAACCTGCAAATAACTGCCAACCACAGAAATGTGTGGATGAGTATATACATGCTGTGTATTAGAAAAAGACGGGTGGAGAGTGGATGGGTGTTTTTTGAGGCAAAAGGAACCTAGACAGTGTCTGCCTATCAGAGCATGTGCTCCTCCACCCCAAGTATTAGTTCTCCCTGTTCTGTACCTTTTTTAGGTAATTTCTGGCTGACCATTTTTCTGGGGAGAATTTGGGGGAAGGCTGTCCACCAGAGCAGCAAATACTCACTGTTGATGGTACCTGCAAGTGCATTAATATTGTTCAGCCCCACAGTGGCTCCCGCCAGTCCTTGCAGAGTCCCAAGAGAGGTCAAAGAGTTCATGGCCGCACCAGCAGTGGAGTTGGGGGTTGAAGCAGCCACTGAAAAACAAAGAGAGGGTGGGAAAAGGGGGAGAGAAAGCACAAAATGAGGGGAAGCCAACTGGCCCAGCAAGTAATCTGTCCTCACCGCAGCAGATGGAGCCAGGGAGTCGGTGCTTATGTGGCGAGTGAGAAAGACATATGGGGTGGCACTTGTGACCATTAGGTTTGCTGATTACTAACAATGATCACAGCTCTGTTTGCCAGTGCGATGACCGTCCCCAATGCTGGTGGGGAGTCCTGGCCTGGGCAGGCTCGCCCCTCCTCAGCCCCACTTCAGCTCCATGTGTCCTGGCGTCCGGTCCACTGACTTTTAGAGGCCTTCGTGCTCTAAGCCTCCTTCTCATCCGGGTCAGCGAATGAAGGAGTGGGGGAGTAAAACACAGAGTTTGGCTTTCTTATTTTTGCTTCAGAGCCGTCATTTAGTCAATGAAGTTTTGAAAAACAAAATCATGCACCTTCCTGAATTTGCCAGAAGCCTCCAGAACCCTGGGAACCGTGGTAATAGAGGGGGTGGAATATAGGAGATCCAATCACTTTGGTCCAAACTGTCCTTCCCTGGCCTCTACACCACCTCTTATCAAATGACAGTTGCACTGGGACACGGTTCCCGCAGGGTACACAGGTCTGTGGTTTCGGTACATGTGCAGAGTCGCACAACCAGCACCCACATCTAACTTTAGAACATTCTCACTGCTCCCGGAAGAAACCCCTACCCTTCTGACACTGGCATCCACCGATCTATGTACTTTCTCGATTGACTTGCCTATTCTGCACATTTCACTTGAATGGAATCTTAAAATACCTGATCTTTTGTGATTGCCTTCTTTCACTTAGCAAAACGTTTTCAAGGTTCACCCACATCGTAGCCTATGACAGTGCTTCTCCCTTTGACTGCTGAAGAACACTCCACTGTATGGAAACACTACATTTTGCTGATCGGTTTCCCAGCCGTGGACATTTTGGGGGTTTCTACTTTGGGGTTATTATAAATAATGCTGCTGTGAGCACTGTGTACGAGTCTTCATGTAGACATGTTTTCAGTTCTCTTGAGTATACACGTAGTATACACACAGGGCTTGGACTGCGGGGTCACGTGCTAAATCTACTCAACATGGTGAAGAAACGCTCAACTGCTCTCCAAAGTCGTCCTACTCCCTGCCCTTTACAGCTGTTATCTGTACATTAAAAAACGAAAGAAAAGCCCTGGCTGGTATAGCTCGGTGGATTGAGCGCGGGCCTGCAAACCACACGATCGCGGTTCAATTCCCAGTCAGGGCACATGTCTGGGTTGCAGGCCAGTTCCCAGCAGAGGACACACGAAAGGCAACCACACATTGATGTTTCTCTCCCTCTCTCCTTCCCTTCCCCTCTAAAGATAAATAAAATGTTAAAAACAACAACAACAAAAAAACCGAAAGGAAACCATGCTTAAGGAATGAGAGATATGATGACAATGTTTATCAAATAAGAGAGACAGGAATTAGAGCAATGAAGAAAATGAAGTCCTGGAACTGATAAATGCTTCTGTAAATAACAGAAACTGTCTTACACTTCCACTACCTTACATTTGTAGAGCTTCACAATCTGTTGGCTTTTTCCACACACGTCATCTTTATCCCGGTGACGGAGGGGAAGGTTACACTCAACTCGGACCGTGGCTCACAGCAGCCCTCGGTCCATTTCCAGCTGTGAAGTCGCTGTGAGTGTGAAACTTCTTTCCATCCAGCATGGGCAGGACCCTCACCCATCTTCGTGGAAGGCCCCTGCCCAGCGGGCGGCCGTGCATCCCTCTCTGCCACGAGGGACCACAGAACAGTGTTTGCGATGCACCTTGCTTGGGACTCCTCCGGACGAGGCCAGATCACATGTCGAAACACTCAATTCCCCACCGTGTCACATTTCTGTCCATGTATGACATTGGTTTCTGGCACCTCATAATGTATATCTATTTTCTTTCTCTTTAAAAAAAATAATTATATATAATCAAGCCAAAGTTTCTAGTCCCTTTGTATTATCAAACTTGCAAATACCGGCGAAAGCAGAGACAGTGATGACAAACTCCCATAAACTCATACCCAGATTTTAGAATATTTGAGAACCCATTCCCAAAACCTAAGTGTATTTTTTAACTTAATTTTTTTACCATCATCGGAGGACATACTTATTGATTTTTAGAGAGAAGGAAAGGGAGGGCGAGAGAGAAACTTTGATGTGAGAGAGAAACACCCACTGGCTGTTTCTCTGCACCCCGACCAGGGACCAAGCACACGCCCCAGGCACATGTCCTGACCAGTTACGGGACAACACCCCATCCGGCCTCGCCATACCAGCCCGGTCTGAGTGTATTTTAAAGCAAATTTCAGACCTTATGCCATTTCACTTTTACTACTTCTGTATGTAACTCTTAAAATTGGGGCCTTTTAAAAAATATCCCGTACAGGATAGGAATTGATTGTGGGAATGGGGGGAGAGGGTGGGGGCAGGGGAGAGAACAAAGGGGAAGGGAATTGGGACAACCGTAGTAGAAAAACAATAAAAAAATACCCACACCATTATTCAGCTTAACAATAACCCACAACCTTCAGACCAACTGCCCATACCATTATTAAACCTAACAAAATAATTTCTTGGCTTCATTATGTGATACTATCGTGTTTAGGATTTTTTCACCTATGTATATGAGTAAGATAGGTATTTATTTTTCCTTTTTATACTGTCCTTAGTTTTGCTATCAAGCTTTTGCAACCCTCATAAAATGACTGAGAATGCCCTTATTTTTCCATTCTCTGGAATAGACAGTATAAGACTAAATACTTAACTTAAATGTAAATTAAATGTTTGGTAGAACTTGCCAGTAAAAATGACCTGGACTTGATATGGGATAGTTGTAAAATATTGATTACCTTTCTCTAATAAAGAGAATTATGCAACTTCTGTTTTTCCTCTTGAATTCGTTTTATTAAGTTATTGCTTTTAGGAATTTGTGTATTTCAAGATTCCAGATTTACACTGGTATTAAAACCTAATGTGCTATTGGAAAAATTTTGGTGGTGGACAATTAAGAGGAGCCTTGTAGCTCCACGGTAGCAAAATGATAGCCAAGCTAGGAGTTTAACAGAGAGAACCAGAGAAAGAGGAAGTTAAGATGAGCCCTCCTGGGGTCAGAGAAAGCTTCGAAGAATGGCCTTGAAGAATCTCCCTGTGAAGGGGCCTGATATGAACTGAACCAGGCTGGAGGGGCATTTTATGCCCCAGGGCCAAAAACGATAGATCATACAAGTAGTAATTAGTGGAGGCTAACAGCTGGATATAATAAGAATAGAAAAAGACCCACCAGAAATTTAAGGAGATCAGGCAGAGAGGTAGTCAGAGAGCTACTTGAAAGTGTTATGCCATTTAAAAAAGAAAACATAAGACTGTCACAGCCCAAGGCTGTGTCCTCTAAGGAGTGACATCAGAAGCACAGTGAAGTGGAACTGGTTTTGTTGAACTGGTCTAGCCAAGTCACTAAGCAAATAAGCAAACAAGAAGTTGGTTTCAGATGGAGGAGAAATGAGTGAGGAGGACCAGTATCCAGAATTGCTATGATATATTACCTAAAATGTCCAGTTGCAAACAGTTATGAGATTTGGAAAGAAACAGGTGACAGACACTGCATTTGAGAGGGCTCAGATAGTATACTTTGCAGACAAAGACAGGGAGGTAGCTACTATAAATATGTTCAAAGAACTAAAGGAAACCATGCTTAAGTAAAGAAATGTATGATGACAACGTTTCATTAAATGATAGAAAGGGAAACTATGAAAATGACCAAAATGGAAATTCTGGAACTGAAAAGTAAATTACAGAAATAAAGAATTCACTGCAGGGAGCAGTAGCTGATTTGAGCAGGCAGAAGACCAAGCCTCAGAGAAATGGGGCACACTGTTAAGCACATTAACAGACGTGTAAGGGGAGTACCACAAGTAGAGAAAAGAGCAGAAAAATACTCAAACAGATGATGACAAAGAACTTCCTAACTTTGGTGAAAAACATTATATTTCCAAGAAAGTCAACAGACTACAAACAGAGTAACACAAACAGACCATACCCAGACATGTGACAGTAAAAATGCTGAAAGCCAAAGGTTAAGAGAAAAATCTTGAAATCAGCAAGAAAAAAAAAAGATGACTCATCATGTATAAGGGGGCCCCCAGTAAGAGGAACAGCTGGCTTCTCAGAAGAGTGGACCTGAAAGTGGTGGGGTGGCATATTTCAAGTGCTGAGAAGAAAAATCTATGACCTAAGAACCTTATATCCAGCAAAACTATTCCAAAAATGAAGGAGAAATAATGATACTCCTAAATGAACAAAAACCAAGAATTTGTTGCTAGCAGATGTGTTTTACAATAAACACTACAGTGAGTTCTTCAGGTTGAAAGCGTGTGATTCCAGACAGTAATTAGAATGTATGTACACACATACACACCAAAAGAAACCCCCAAAGGACATGAATGAAGGCAATTATAATAGCGTAATTGCATTTTCTTCCTTTCTGCTCTTGATTTAAAAATCAGTTGTCTAAAACAATATGTAGATAATTGCATTGTTGGGCCTATAACACAGGGAAAGGTAATATATTTGACAATAAAACCACAAAGGTGAGTGCGAGGGCAACACTGTGTTGGAGCAAGGAAATTACGCCAAATGGTAATCACAAAAAAAAAATGGAGAGAACCAAAAATGGTACCTAGGAGGGTTACAAACAAACTGTGTCCATATGTATCTGCTCTCCTTCTTTCACATTCTTTAAAAGACATTAGGTAGTATAACATAGTAATTACAGTAATATATTGTTGGGTTGGGAATATGTATATAGATGTAATACGTGCACAAATAATAGCATAGGAAGGGCAGGAGGGGAGAGTTCTGTATCTCACCACCGAGTGAGTATAGTCTGAAAGAGATTCTGGTAAGTTGGGTGTCCATTGTAAGTCCTAGGGAAACCACTAAGAAAA